CTTGTATTTTGGACATGCTTTGTCAGTTGTCATTCAAACTTGGTACATAGATTATACATGCTAGGATACATGTCCATGACGATTTATTTTGCAATTGGATCAAAGATGGTCGACTGGCAGGCATCTTGTTTTTGTTTTTTTGTGGTATCTTGTATGTGCTCTGTCAATTTTCATTCAAATTTGGCACATACATGTACTTTATACATGTTAAGATGCATGACAGTTTGTTCCAAAATCCGGTCAAGGATGGCCGATTGACAGCCATCTGACTTTTTGGCCTTACTACTATATTTCCACAATTTATGTACCATTTTCATTTGTATTTGGCACATACATCATACATATCAGTGTGTTTCATAATCAGATCAAAGATGGCAGAATAACGGCTGTTTTTATTTTTGGCCATATTACTACTACCGGTACACGGAACACATGTTTTGATGTAAATAAACAATCTTTTGTATACGCCACTTGGAACTAAAGTTTCAAGGATACACTCACGACAATCCCTCCGCTTTAATATGACGAGCACAAAGAGAACTTTCAAAAATTTAACGAGGACTGTGTCATTTTCAATGACTTGTTGATCAGAAAATCTTGTGTGTGATTCAGTAATTTTAATTAAACGATGCTGATAACACAAGATTATCTCTGGAAGTGCTTGGTAATGTTTCGGACATTGACAAGAACCTTCTGAACTGGATTATGTGAATACCATGATTGTATTTTGTACATTACACATTCTAGTTATCAACTCATGGGCTTCCAATAAAATATATCTTGAACTATATTTAGTTGGTACTGTACCCAAACGCATGTTATATAATGCTTAAACAATTAGACAAGGCCGACAGACTTACTTGGGCAACCCACATAAAAAATCTCTTGTTCAAATATGGTTTCGACATTGTCTGGCTTGAACAACAAGTTAGTGATACTGCACATTTTTTAGTCAGCAAGAATGGCATGCCTCAATTTCATAATCACACAGACTGTGTACTTACGGAAAAATCAAAGTAGTATTAGAAATTTAAATTTATTGGCAAGCAATTATAGGCTAAAATATATACTGGCGAGTTTTCACTGTTTTGGCCATCTGAGTTAGGCAGACACACAAAAATTTGCTGTTTTTGTAGTAATACGTTTGAATTTAGAGTGGTAGAATATGAAATTCACTTTGTTTATATAAGTCCATTCTATAATGATCTAAGGGCTGATGTTTTGTCAATAACACTATGCAATTATGCAATTACAGACAGTCTGGGCTTACTTCTTCGCTCCGCTAATGGCCACACCATTTATCAATTAGCTCTGTATCTTTTAAAAGCTTTCAAGTGACAAGATGAATATGAATCCAGCTTAACCTAGTACCATATGTTTACATGGATATTATATTGTTTTAAAACGTGTTACGTACTTTTTTATCCATTACATTGAAAATACTTTTTGTGCGATGGGCTGAAGCCCTGTACTGAAATATAATAATAATAATATAATAATAATAACGCGCAGGGGAGGTCGGTGCGACGGCGTACTGTCTGAGTGCATACTTTGAGATATCCTCATAATAACCTTATTATTATACATCTTTTCCTTCAAAGAAAACATCATGGGAATGCCGAAATCCATAAAGTTTAGAACAGAATCAGCGAACTTCTTTGTGTTGAGTCCGGTCAAACCCTGGTGGCAGCCATGTTTTATTTTATTATTAGAGGACGCTTACACACGTAAACATTTCATATTTGGAATTCGCAATTCCTTATATGGTAGGATGAAAATATCCCGTAAAATACCTCATAAGTACGGCACGCTGTAACTTTTATGGCGTTACAGTAACAGATGTATAATAATATAATATATGTTACAATTATGATTTAAGTTTATTTTTTGTTAATGCATCAAGTAATCGAGTTGTCCTTCATTCTCTATAGGTGACATGTAAATGTGGCGTTGCCGTGGAGAAGTGTCATATTGAAGATCATGAGGTACGTATACAACATTTCATTTGAATTCCATGTACACAGACTACAGTGTATATATATTTTACGCATGTCATGTACGTGGTATGGGACCCATATCAAATGCAACACTGTGCAGAAACTGTGATGTTTTATCAAAATATTGCATCTTCTGCTCTTGTTTCATGGTGATTTATCGATGTAAAGTGAAAATTTTAATAGTATGGGCACTCTATGTCAGAATGCATATTCATGGAAATCACAACTGGAACTGTGAATATAGGAAGCATGTGTGATTATGTAAATAACCTTTCAAAACAGTATACATCATAACAGATGACAATTTAGGTTGGTTTTTCCATTTCCATTTTACCAGTAACTTTTATCAACCAAAATCTTGTTACTACGCCATGACTAGAACTTGCACAGTGATAGGAGGTGCATGTACCTCTAGACCAATAAAATGTTGGGCTACCGAATGCTGTTATCAGAAAATTAACATTATCAGAATATTAATGCAAGTTCCCGTTGCTTTCAGGCCAACAGTTGTTCAAAGCGTAAACAAAGCTGTGAGTACTGTGAATTGGAGATGGACGCATATGATATGGCAGACCATGTGGATTTCTGTGGTTCTCGTACTGAGCCATGTCCGAACTGTCAGCGATACATTATGTTTAAAGACCTGAAACAGCACGAGGAGAGCATGTGTACATTTCCTGAAACCAAAACCGAAACACCAAAGAATGTTTCCCAAGGCGCAGACTACTTTCCTGATGAATTTTTTATGGACATGTCCGGACCCCCATCGGGACTACCATATGAATACTACAATCCATATGTTGAGAGTAATATTCAAAATGATTTTAGGAGGCATTTACCGTCAACTGGCCAGAAAGCCACTAATCTCAGATCACGGCCAACGTGGGACAGTTCAGGCAGGAATCCTCCAGCGTCTAACTCTTTAAACAACTTAAAGAAGACAACTTCTAGAAAAGGACCAGTTGCAAGAACACGGAATAGAACTCGTGGCAGTGAGGTAAAAAGTACAACAAGACCAGGCATGGAAGGAATGAGTACTACAAGACCCAAAAATCAACCTGGTAAATTTTGTTTCCATTCTTAACCTGCAAATTTGTTCATTTATACAAAACGTATTAGTAGACTTATTTGCGATATTTTGTAATAGAAAAGTTCTCTATTAGAACATCAACCATGTAGTATTTTAGAGACTGGCATCCACTCATTCTCATTCTCACTCACAACAAATAGTAATTTTCCACCTCTTTCTCACTAACAAAGACTAGTGCAATTCGATTTCTTTCTCATTCTTACTCACAAAGAGTAGTTCATTTCGGTTCCTTTCTCATTCTTATTCACAAAGACTAGTGCATTTCGGTTCCTTTCTCATTCTTACTCGCAAAGACTAGTGCATTTCGGTTCCTTTCTCATTCTTACTCACAAAGACTAGTGCATTTCGATTTCTTTCTCATTCTTACTCACAAAGAGTAGTTCATTTTGGTTCCTTTCTCATTCTTACTCGCAAAGACTAGTGCATTTCGGTTCCTTTCTCATTCTTACTCACAAAGACTAGTGCATTTCGATTTCTTTCTCATTCTTACTCACAAAGAGTAGTTCATTTCGGTTCCTTTCTCATTCTTACTCACAAAGACTAGTGCATTTCGATTTCTTTCTCATTCTTACTCACAAAGAGTAGTGCATTTCGGTTCCTTTCTCATTCTTACTCACAAAGAGTAGTTCATTTCGGTTCCTTTCTCATTCTTACTCACAAAGAGTAGTTCATTTCGGTTCCTTTTTCATTCTTACTCACAAAGAGTAGTGCATTTCGGTTCCTTTCTCATGCCTACTCACAAAGAGTAGTTGTGTCCCACTCCTTTCTCAATCTCACTCACAAAGAGTAGTGGCTTCCCACTCCTTTCTCAATCTTACTCACAAAGAGTGGTGGCTTCCCACCCCTTTCTCAATCTCACTCACAAAGAGTAGTGGTTTGTCACCCCTTTCTCAATCTCACTCACAAAGAGTGCTGGCTTCCCACTCCTTTCTCAATCTCACTCACAAAGAGTGGTGGCTTCCCACCCCTTTCTCAATCTCACTCACAAAGAGTAGTGGTTTGTCACCCCTTTCTCAATCTCACTCACAAAGAGTGGTGGCTTCCCACCCCTTTCTCAATCTCACTCACAAAGAGTAGTGGTTTGTCACCCCTTTCTCAATCTCACTCACAAAGAGTGGTGGCTTCCCACCCCTTTCTCAATCTCACTCACAAAGAGTGGTGGCTTCCCACTCCTTTCTCAATCTCACTCACAAAGAGTGGTGGCTTCCCACTCCTTTCTCAATGTCACTCACAAAGAACAGTGGTTTTTCACTCTTTTCTCATACTCACTCCCAAAGAGTAGTAGTTTCCCACTCCCTCCTCACTCTTACTCACAATAAGTAGTGGTTTTCCTCTTCTTTCTCATTCTCACTCACAAAGAATAGTTGTTTTCCTCTTTTTTCCCCTTTTTTCTCACTCTGACTCACGAAGAATAGTGGTTTTCCTCTCCTCTCTTTTCTCATCCTTGCTCAAAAAGAATAGTGCATTACGTTTCATATTTCCATACAGAGCTTCCTATGAGTAGTCACAATCATGAAGAAATGGACAGACTATTAGCTATGCATCTGGCACATGATTTGACCACTGACGAAGACATTGACAGAATCATTGAAGATGCCAATCAAATTCCAGATCCACCTGTATCATCAGTCACACATTCAAGATTGTACTCTAGAGGGCCTCCTTCACCAACTGGAGATGGTGAGGTTCTGCTTTTATTATGTAGACCCATTTCATAACCCACACTCTACTTTGCAACAGAATCTGTCTAGTTCCCAATGCCAAGTAGTTGATAACATGCAAGTTAAAAAAGTTGTCTGCCCTGCTTGATAGTTGTTGGCCCAATATAAAAATAAAATAAATTGAACTCAAAATAAATGTGTTAATAATATTTTCAAAAATGACAGAAGCTGACTAGTAATCTGATATAATATAAGCTTATTACGAGGATACCTCAAGATATGCACAAAGACAGTACAGCGGGAGTATTGAGCGACGTGCAGCGGAGGTCGATGCGAAATCCAAAAATGCCGTTTAGAACAGAATCAACAAAATTCTTTGTGTGGAATCTGGTCAAACAGCTATGGCAGCTATGTTTGTTTTTATTATTAGAGGACGCTTACGCGCGTAATCTTTCCATATTTGGAATTTGCATTTCCCTATATGGTAAGATGAAAATACCCCATAAAATACCGCAAAATAACAGCACGCTGTAACTTATGGTGTTACGGTGACAGATGTATAATAATATAATATACTGTTTTGATGACCCATACAATTTTTCTCTGTAAACAATACTTCATCAACTGCCTGAAACTTGTAGATCAGGGCTATTAGGCCAGCATATACTGTAAAGTTCTAGGGGTCCACCTCAGATAAAAACACAGGTACTGTATTTGCTCCATTAGTAGCACATGTTCTTCTGTCAATTACAGAGGTGTTTTCATGGTCAAAATAAGTAATATTTTAATGATTCGGTATACAATAAATGTGATTTGGGGTTTATGTGCACTTCTATTAGAGATGTGCTTCTAATAGAGAAAATTCAGTAGCATATCGCATACTTATTTCAGTAACAAATAATGATCAAAATAGTATATCAAGTCACTTTATGTTTTATAAAAACTGTATTTTATTTTCAACAGATGTCATTTTATGCTGCTTATAATTTTGAAGATTTTACTTATAAATTTTCCTGTGGTACATTTTATTTTTGTAGATATGAACACCCCATTACCATGTGAATTCTGTAGCGAGTTATTTCCTTTAGACATCCTGTACGTCCATCAGGTAAGATATAGTAAAATTAGATACTCTCACTTTCCCACTCGTTCATTTCATTTTGAGGGTTTCTGAAGGGTCTTATCCCTTACAATTCATCCCTTATCCCTACAATTTAACTGACCTTCAATGACAAGTAAAGCCTCCTTAAGTGAATGTCTAATATTTACAAATCTAACTTAATTTAAGAAACTCCCTGCGATTAATTTTTTCTTTCACCCAATTGCAATATCTACATTTAATGATATAATTAATCTGTGGATGTGTGAAATGAGAATGTAACTTTAATTTATTCTGATAAGAATGTCTGTTATTTGAAGATTTAATAGCGTGTATTTATTAATTGGTTTGACTTGTCCTTATTCACTGATGTCAGTACATTCTAGTGCATTCTGGGATTCATGTCCCACATGAGGGGCAGTTAATAAGCAACTTTTTTTGTGCCATTCTCACTATTCTTCACATGCTCAATAATAGTTTAATTTGTTGAGGCTTTCTCGGTAAATTAACTTCTAAATTCATTTCTGGTATTGCAATAACAATTCAAAAACATTTTTACTTGTGCTCCAATTCAATTCAAAAGTTGATAAGATTTGCATGAGATTTACATCATATTCGTATCGGTCTCGCAACATATCTCTCATATTCAATTTGAATAACAGTTGTTTAAAAAATTAATTACAAAGTACAAATATATCATAATTGATATTTTAGATTAGGATTTTAACTCAGAATGATAGCAGTTAGGTAAGAATTAAATGATTTTTTGAATAATGCGAGTCATAAATTGAATCAGTGTTAGATGTCAACCGGGAAGAACATAGAGTTTTAAGTTGCAGAGGATTGCGTCTTTATCTACTTAGTATGAGTGATACTTTATTTTTCTATAGAACTGCATTTGATATATACTCAAATGAGACTCAAAGATGAATCTTATATAAATCTTATGCAAATCAGAATTCTTAACCCAACTTCACTTCATGTAAAGTTGCATGATGCAAATTGTTTGTATTTTGTTGCTATGAAGTTATTACGAGGATACCACAAAGTATGCAAGAAGACAGTACAGCAGAAGTATCGACCGACACACAGCAGAGGTCGATGGGGCTGTGTACTGTCTGAGTGCATATTTTGCGGTATCCTTGATATTCAGAGTTTGTGATGCTACTGTGAAGTTCAAGCAGCTTACTGGAGTCCTTCTTAACATATTCTCTCTTCATAGTCTGGATGCAGCCAAGCCATTCCAGAAGATGAACACATTACAAACAGTCCACCCAATAACAGTGTGTTCATGTCACCAAACACCAGAAGTCCACCATCCCAACCTCCAATTGTGGATAACTTGGGATATGGAATCAGAAGGTATTCAGTGCTAATTATTTTAATTCAACTGTGTCTTGTCATTTTCATTGTTGTGGGTATCAGATGCATAATTTATCATCAGTTTGTATCAGCATCATATTGATAGCCTTGTGTGATGTGCTGGATGTAGTTCTTATTTTTTCCAAGTCACAACAAATAAATTTCTGGTGAATGTGTGTCAGAAAATTTATAACGCATCATCATTATTGGCATTTTAATTTCAAAAATAAGTACATTCTCTTTGGTGGAATTGACAGTTAAATCAGGGGTCACTGTTTTACTGTAAACATTTTTAGTTTTCCAAACAAAATATTTCTTAAATCCTACTTTGAAAATTTTTGAGAGCTCCTGGTTCAGATATTTTGCATGATGTCTATTAAACACGGGAATGATATTTTTCCTAAAACTGAAATTAACATCTTGGAAAATTAGTACTGATATATGAAGGAATTAAGAGGTGGCATACAACTTGTCTACTCTTAACTCTTGTCGACATCAAGTTGCATAAAATAATGTATGATTAGGAAATCATTTTCAAACTGATCCTGTAAAAACATGTGTTATCCCCCTGATAGTTTCCATCATTTCAAAAGCCATAAAAATAAAACTATAAACAAAAGAGGCAAATCTAAGTGAAGAATTTGAGGAGATGTGTGTCTGTTTTTATTGTTCCAAATTTGAAGTGAATCGGGTAATTAGTTCTCTAGATCAATTAATTTGAATACTGCTTTTGAGAATATAATCATAACAAATGTAAATCTAATTTGCATACTAATATTTTCTTTAGTCTTAGATCAAATGGCTATACAATCAACTATAACCAAAATATTACTGAGGTCAATTCATATTAAGACAATCTAAAAGATTTCTGCACTCATTTCAATGAATTATTAATTATGTAAAATATTTGCAAATATGCAAATTAGGTAATTAAAACAATGGCCTTTACAATTGGTTGCAATTTTATTTGTATTCCACTCATAATAAAATTTTGAAATTTTTACAGAATAATTAGGTAAATCTTACAGATGAAAAAAAAGCACAGACCAAGTATTTTGTTCAAACTATTTAGAACAAGGTGTACAGTTTTCAGTGAGAAGTAGTACACACAGTTGTGAAATTTACACTGTCATTTCATTTTGATCAAAAAATAAAACATTTCACAGCATCAGTATTTGAGAGACAAAAATTTAGCAAAAGTCCAGCTCTAATAACTGTTTCAAATTTAACAAATGCTTCTTGTCATTGATAGAAGATTGACATTGAACTTTGTTTTTTCTTATTTACTTTCTTCATAGTCAAGCTGACCAGTTTGAAAGACCAGACAGTGATGATGATGATGAAATATTCTTACCCTGTGAATTCTGTGAGACACTCTTACCAGAAACTTCACTTGTACAGCATCAGGTATTGAAACTGAATATGAATTTTATTACTTAGAGACATAGAGCGAATCTGTGGTTAACCTTTTCACCACCAGACTTTCTCACCCAAATTTTTCTGCACTTTTTTCATTATATTCTTCAATAATTTTGGAAATGAACCCTAATTTTGGCCCAGCAGACAAAATTTTAGTCAATTTTCAGTTTTTACTCAAAAAATTTGGTTCTTTTTGTCCCAAACTTTTGAAAGAAAGTGCAGACTATAAATGGGACTATTTTTGGAACCGGTTGTGAAAAGGTTAAAGTTAGCTCATGGGTATTTCAACCTATTAAATGCTAACACAATATTTTGTTTCACAAATGCTACTTATTATAGGTTTGGATAAATGCCATATCCTTTTGGAAGTTTTTACCCAATATAAATCATATTCTTAGAGAAATTAGTGTTACAGATGGGCTTTCCTGTCAATCATAGTTACCCATCTTATAACAACATACTATTTTATCACTACATGTATATGTCACTAAATGATATTTTCAGATATGACGGAACCTTTTCCTCATAGAAATCAATGTTAAATGGCTCAAACATCGTTGTTTTTATTTATTTACATGAAAAATAGTTACATAATCGTGAATTGGGCAATTCGCACATTGCAATTAACATGACATGTTGTGTTTCAATCTATCTGTCTTTGATGATTAATTTCTATTTTTAGGCCATGTGTGAATCAAGTACAACCCCACTGCCGCCTGCATTACCGGAAATGCCACCAAGGCAGATGAGAGCTAAGCCTAAACCAAGAGACGCAATGAGCCATGATATGCCCTTATATAGTAATAGATCAGCTAGACATCAAGCTGATCCTGTGATGGATTTCAGAATCGGTTAGTACAATATACCCAGGGTGTGGTATTCCTGGAGTGGTGCCAATCTGAAGCAGAACTTTATGACTTGTGTAAAAATCTCTTACATCAAGACATATCACAAGCAGATGAACAGAATGCCATGACATGTTTCTAAATCACATACATCAAGATGTATGTCAAATTCAGAATGCCATGGCAAATCAAAATCATGTACATCAAGACATGTGTGAAAATCAGAATGCCATGGCATGTCAAAATCATGTACATAAAGACGTGTCAAAATCAGAATGCTATGGCATGTCAAAACCATGTACATAAAGACGTGTCAAAATCAGAATGCCATGGCATGTCAAAATCATGTACATCAAAACATGTGTCTGAATTAGCAGATTATCAATCCTATCCTATTGTTACTATATTGATTTTTGTCATTTTTAGGCAATGGGGACAGATCACCAACCAGACCCACACAGACAAAGAAATCTAATCCCATGGCTAGTACTGTGTATGGTAACAGAGGTGTCATACAGAATAGAACACGCAACAAGAAAACTAGTGAGTAATGTGTCTTGTTGCTATAGTTACAAGCATCCCTACTGAGGCACTTAGATTTGAAGGATCATTCTTAACAGCACTGATTATTAATTAAATATTAAATTTAAATCTCCATCAGTTACAGCATGTTATTTGTTATAGTTTTGAAGTATTATGAACATTGATTCATTGCCATGGTTTCTGTGTGATTTGCGATTCAACACGTTGTCTTGTCTTTTTCACTAATATTTGTTTTTCAATTTGATTCAAATTCATACATATTAAATATTTAATTTCAATAAAATTATTTTCACCTTGATACATCTCACAAGCTGCTTATTTGCTCCTAATGAAACTTGATATATACGCTCCTGGATTATCTTCAAACTTCATCAGTTGGTGTTCAAACCACCAATATTACTGTAGAAATGAAAAAATATTCACTGGGTTTAATTTTAGCAGCTTTGATGTTGCCGGAATATTCACTATATTTTAATTCACTGGTTTGTGAAGGAAACAATATACTGTATGATTAACTTTGCACCTTCACTGGGTTTTAACTGAGCACATCCAGCCATCAGTGAAATAAACAAACAAAAAACAGTTAATAACTAAGCATTGTACAGTAATTTACTTTTAATCATTTTTATCTGTTCAACTAATAACCTTTTCACTACCAGATTTTCTTGCCCAAATTTGTCTGCACTTTTTTTTTTTTTATATACTCTAAGATTTCTGGAAATGAACCCTATTTTGGAGCCAACAGACAATTTTCGGTTTTTACTTAAAAAATTTGGCTATTTTTGTCCCAATCTTCTGAAGGGAAGTGCAGACTATAAACAGGACTATTTTGTGAATTTGTGATAAAAAGAGGGAACAGGTGGTGAGAAGGTTAAATAAGAACCAGTGTTTAGAGTTCAATGAAACTAGTACATAATTCAAAGGTATATGGTCTTTATTTATAATAGAAGGCCATCGGCCCATAATATCTACATACATTATTTATATTTGAAAATAAAATTACAATTTTTAAACAATTGACAATACTTGTAGCTCTTTTCGCAATTTCATTGCGTGAAAAGTATAAAGGCTCCCAGTCTTTGAAGAAGATCTGTATTTTTTGTACCCATTAATTTGTAATATTTACTGACTGTTGGGGGATTAAAAAAGTTAGCAGGAATATATTTTATTCTTAAATTAACAAAAAAGGAACAAATAAGTAAAAAATGGTATTCATTTTCAATGTTGTTACTGTTACAAAGCAAGCAAATGCGTTCACTCCTATCTACATTATTTTTTCTATCTGTCTCAATACGAAGATAGTGGCATGAACAGCGGAGTCGAGCTAACATTTGAACATGAGAATGCACTTTCACACAAAATAAATACTTTTCAGGTTCCAAAGAAAATTTAAATTCCCTATAAAATGTCAGTTTCTCTAAAGTACATACCTGGCTGAACCAAGATTTGAAAGATTGCGAATTTCAAGATCCAAAAGTACATAATTGCTTTGAGATATTCATGATCTGATGAGCTTGAAGTTGAACTCTTTACTTATTAATTGATTTATTTGTCTAATTAGTGAATTTCAAGCTCTTCCACTTATATCCAATAAAATGTATTCCCTTTGTTGGATTAATATAAATTTTCATAGTGTATGACAGGTAGCTTTCACAGAGTACATCTCAAACCACAAAGCCATATCAACCATTACGTTTCTTTATTAACATTCTTATATTACCTCTTAGATTTTTATTTATCTCCATTTTGTTCCTTTAGTCGTTATCTTCAATACCCTCGGCACATAGCAGTTCATTCTAAGCTTTCTTTGAATATGGTGCAGTTGTTCGATGTACACATAAAGATGAAAAATTTAAATAGAATAAAAGTCATGATTATTAATATTGACAATGTGCGTAGTGTTAGTAATCGTAATAGTTCTGGCCACACTGAAAATAATCATTACAGAATAAATAAAAAAAAACATGTGACCTCATGATAATAGTAATATTTGTAACATTCAGGTTCCTCACGTCCCAGTCCATCAAGTAATCCGAAACCACCACGCATTACAAGCGCTGAGAGAACGCGTAAAACATTAGACGAACTCTTAACTGATGAAAATATTGATACTGAAGAAATCTTACAACATATGGACGGTGAAATGTACAGCAGGGATAGTGGTCATACCAGGGATAATGGTTACTATGGTAACAGTCATGCTCTAGATGATGTTGATGAGGATCCCTTTGGTCTGCAGTCGTCTAAATCACCTCATTATTCATCAAGTCAACGTCACGGTCGGTGGTCATCCCATGCTGATAGTACACAAGATCCTATTCCAGCGAGTTATGAAGCAAGCTTTTTATCGCAAAGTGCAGCAAACCGAACAAAAAAAGTCAGTACGAGTAATCCTAGAAGTCGACCACCAAAATCCAAGTAAGTTTAAACTTTGATTATGCAAAAAATGGATTTGCTTTTGGACAAAAATGTCATATGCAGAAATGTAATTAATTTAATATTAGGTAAACTGTTAAATTTGTTCTTATTTGTTTTGATTCACTTCGTAGGTCTGGAAGTACCCGTACCAGTACAGCAACCAATGACAGTGGAGCTGCTAGAGTCAGTAGAAACAGTCATCAGAGTGTCGCAAACGAACACAGTAACCCACCGAGACAAAGAGCAAAAGTAAGTAAACACAAAAACATTACAAATCATACCACATTTATGCTGTTCATTTTATTCTTACTGAGTCATGTCTAAAGTAGTTCAATATAACCCACAATTAATGCTTCAATAAATGACACAAGACACAAAGTTTTGGCAAAGGCAAAAGTGGGAGCAAGTTGCGGACGCAGGCATTGCAGCGAACAGCTGCGTGATGCAACTGGCCTGTGAATTGCATCATGACACTGAGCAGAGACTGCTGGCTGGAGCCTGCAGATAAACTCACAACTCCAGGGGGATGGACAGCGTTCAAAGTCGGCTTGGTCAGTGGTGGAAACCGCAGGGAGGCAGGGTGATGCGTAGCAGATGGAACATTGCCAAAGCTCAGTAGCGATTTGGTGTACAATTATATCACTGTGCTTAAATAATTTTTACTGTATTTCGCTATACATGTATATTTAAAGCACATGTCCAATTGTTACGCACATAAACCAACAATCATATTTATTGTACATGTATGCTACATCATTAAAAATAAAACGTATTTTTACACACACCTCTGTCATTTACATATGCAAAACTTTATGCTAATTTGTTTATGTAAAAATTGTCTTTAGTAAATGCATAGGCTTTGCTGATTTTGCTTGTTTGTGATATTTGCTGAAATTCACAAGTAACTTTTCAAATATCAACTAACAATTCTGAAATGAAAAAAACATATGTGGACATCATTACCATATTTTGTAGGGGTGAGGGGAGAATAGCTTGAACTTCTTGAGAGCTCTGTGGTGATTCAAGGATCTCCTTCTTTAGATAAATAATAAAATAAATAATAAATCTTTTTTTCTTAAAATTTTGAATAGCATTTAACTCAATTTCACTTTTTGTTTCCTTCATAGAAACCTGCAAATTATAGACAGCGATATGATGGAGATATCTAAAATGAATTATGAGTCTGTTGCTATGAAGGACTGGACACTGAGCACCGAGCCGAGTCTACTCATTGAACGAGCATTCCTCCATAGACATGTCTTATATGTCAACATTGTGTTGTGATATTTACCATGATACTCACTATTGAAATGTACATGTGAATAACATTATCATATGAGCAACTATGATATCCTCTCTCCTTTCGTTTAGCTGCGGTAATATTTTGCGGTATTTGATCCATATAATGTGTTACCTTTTGACCCTGTATTATTTTTTAAACCCAGATGTTAGTCTGCATTAGAGAAAAGCAACATTCTCGGATGATTTGATTCAAAATTGACTCAGTAATTCAAATTATTTAACATTGTATCCAGGCTGCTAGTTTTCTCACTTGTCCATTCATGGTCAGTTTTGTGATGTTATTGCTGATGCAGTTGCACATTTGATAAAGAGCTCTTTTTGTGGCTAATACAGGTGATAACTCGTGGTATAAAAATAGCCAAGCTCAAAACCAAGTCTTTCTGAGCTACGCATTAGAAACATATCAGCACTGCTTCTCGCATTACCACACGTTATCTCTGGTATTAGACACTAATAAACTCTAAATATTTCGCACTCAATATTTCGCACTCAATATTACACCATGGTGAAATAATCACTTTAATTTCTGAGAAAATGTGACAGTAACTTGTGAGTTCAAACCAATCATATTGAGTGAAAATTGACTTGTTTACTTACAGTACTGCTGTGCAGTAGATTTAAACACTGGTATTAAAGCTGTTCATTTACAAGTCACAACAAAAACACATTCCGCAAATTTGATTTGATATTAAACAAGTAAAACAATATGTCTGTCTCACCTGTGATTGTAGTGACTTAAAGAGTGTCTCTGATTGGCTCCCACACCCAGACATCTAAAGCAACAAGCCAATCATATTACACATAAGATTTGATGACTCATCAACACTTTGTTTGCATGAATTATCAGCTTAAATAACCAGTGACGTGTAACCAGACTGATATTTACAGGTATGTTACTTAGAAAAGTCTTTTTTTTTCAAGATCAAAGATCAGTCAAATAATGTATTTGCTCTTTATATTTTAAGTTTGAAATTCATAAGAGAGCAATGATATAGTGTGCAATTTTTTTATTTTATTTTAGTATTGAATTAATGTGATCTTAAAAATGGCTGAAATTATCATTTTATTCTGTTTATAGAATCTTTGAGTACAACACTGTATTCATACATGTCCACAAATGATTCTGACTTTCTGATTGATGTAACTTCTGGTGCTGACTTTTTTCACCTTTGAAAATAAGGGAATTTTCTTCCTTGGTGTGTTTTTGATATGTGTATCGTATTTGCTCTATTAGAAGCACATGTAAAATATTACATGTATTGTATTGTAGGTAATTAAAAGTATGACCATACACACACTTTTGTAATTTATACATGCGCTACTAATGGAACAAATATTGTCTGTAAAATTTTCTAAATGCTAAGCATGCTATTTATTAATCAGTTTTAGATGATGAGCAATTGTACAAGAAATGAACTATGCGTCATTATTCATCAAGTTTAACGGAATTTGTTTCCTGGGAAACCATTTTATTCTATAATTTTAACAATTATCCTGCAGTCATTGTCCTGCACCAACTCAAAATCAACTCTGATGTATATTGATGATATTAGTTTTTGAAACTGAAATTAATGACTTCTGTTCTTTATTTATTTTGGTGGTTACAATACCACTCTGTTGGTATTTATGATTGTACATTTACATTTAGTGTCTGATTCCCATTTCCGTAACCTTGGTTACTATAGACCAGTGAGAGCACAATAAATTATTCTCAACTGAAATGAATTGCAGCAAAAAAAATCACTCAACTTTTAAAATGATCTTTTCAAGAATAGATTGAATCGGGTGTAGTGTGAGGGCGCTGTTTATAATAATTGCAAGATGCAGTAATTTTTATATATCAAGCATCTCATTTTGGCAACACTGGTCAATCGTTTTCCTTCCCACAATTCCATGCTGCTACATGCTTACATGGTATTTAGAATCAATAAATTATCAATTCACTATAATTGAAATAATATTTTTTGGTTGAAGCAAGAATACTGTAAAATACTTTATTTTAGCTGGAATTAATTTTCGCTGAAAAGAATTTTTGAGTGTTTTGTATGGAATTTATTTTCATCGATTTTTGACCAGCTGAATGTAAAATATAGGAAAAAAAGTTATATTCACTGGATTTTATTCTACTCCTTCAGCGAAAATAAAAATTAATTCCAAGTGCAAATGAAGTACTCTACAGTATACTAATTTGTGAATATTCTGTGAAGGCCTCACAAATTGACATTCACAGCGAATGGGATGATATGCTGTAGATAAATTGTCCGACTTACCTTTGAAATTATATTAGTGATAGTTTCAGAAAAGTTTGCACTAACATGCATGTTACATACTAATGCCCAACAAAAAATAAAATCCGTTTCTGGTCGGCATCCGTGCCAGTTCCAAAAACCACACTGGGCAGTTTGTTTTTTTCAATTGAAACAAAGAAAGAAGGGAAAGAAGGAATTTGCCTGCCGTTGATGGCGCAATATCTTGTTCACATATGTGAAAATTGGTATCACTGCATTATTTTTTTTTTTTTTGATTTGGATCAGAAACAGATGCTTTTAGCCTACTTAGTCCCACCTTACTTTGTTGATAATTTCATTGGTGTGCTTTAGTAGCGGAAAAACCATGCTAGTATTATTTAACTTGATTCATTGTTTAGCATGTCAGCGTTTTAATATTTGGCACCAGTGTATTGCTATGGTTGGTGGTCTGTGCATTTATGGCAGCGATTTGATAAATAAATTTAAACATAATATTTTATAATGGTGTAAATGTATTTAAATTCTTAATGGATGTATAGTTACGTTGATTGCTTTCTTTACATTATTGTCAGTGTTTAGTGTCCTGATTGTATTAAAGATGATATTCCTATTGTAACATTTGTTGATTTTTCTGTCGTGAAAGCTCTGAGTCACTTAATGCTATGAATATGTGGGAGATATATTGTAGTTGTTGTGAATTGCTGGGAAACTCAGCATGAAGGTGAATCCACATACGCCAGGAATATGATTCAAAAACACTTAGTAAATGAAGTTGAACTGTCAAATGGTAAGCGAAAGTAATCGTCAACATTCGGAGATGTTGAAAATTATGACAATTCAACATTTATTCATTGACCAAGTTGTAATTTTCACGATTTGATGTTATTCACAAAAATATTTCACGAAAGTTGTTGACACTCCATGTAACACCCCAAAGAAATTTTCGTTGTGACAAGATTTTCACCGACTTTTGTCTCGAGCAAAATTGTAGTGATTTACAGTTTATCATAGTCTCATTAAAGAATTACATGTAAAGAGCAGCGGTCTTGTAAACCAGTGTTCGAATTTCATGTATACAAACTGCACAACGAGTCCCATATCAAACAGGACGCGAAACGACGACAACCACTGCCCTAACATGCTTTGGTTTATTCAAAGTTTGAAGATACAGAACTTGATCATCAAAAAGCTTAAAATCAACTTACTGATTAATAAGCTTAGTACTGAAAATCACCAAATTATTTATCAATAATTGCAGATAATGTAATGAAACAAAGAAATCTGCATTTAGTTATTGTTTCTACACCAAATATGGGAGCCATATAATAGAGTCTAATCAGTGGACAGTGGTACTACATTTTTTTTTTCTCTGCGCACTGTTCAACTACACATAAATTTCAGACAATTTATATGAATATAATGCACCAAAAATTCCATCTATTTATACTGTATCATTAAAATATCACTTATTTTGAGCACAGACATGCCTCTGTCATTTATACAAGCCCAGTGCTAATATCTCAATCAGATTACTATCTGGTGTATGTATGCACATATTATGAACAGTGTTTTAATTGCAATGTACAATGTTCAACTTTTTACATCATAACAAAACAAATTTAACTATTTATTTAATTTATTTGTTTATAAAAAGAATGAGGAAAACTACAATAACAAATAAAACAAATTCAATCATGTACAATAAAAAAAATACATAATCTAGAAAATAAGTGTAAAAATAGAAACAGACTATAACCTCATAAATGACAGTTTCCGCAACAACCAAAATAAAACTACCAGTGGTAATTGTGACATGTGGTTCCACGACAACCATCCTATAATATACTTCAATTTTTTGTTAATTTGACCAAATAAACACAGCTTTTGAGGTATTCTGAATAAAATATAACACACATACACTTCACAACTCAAGTGTAAATGAGTATGAACAGATAAAACTAGAATAAATTCAACCATTCAATGGTGTACAGTAAAAAAAATACATAATCTAGGAAATAAGTGTAAAAATAGAAATAACCTTGTAGGAACAGGAACAGGAACTACAAATACTCTAACTCTTTTATAAATACTAACATCTAACCAGTAGACATGTTACAAAGGCAGTGAATAGTTTTGATACATGTATCAATAAAAACAAAGAAAAAAACTGTTTTGAAAATGAAATTCAGTGTTTTTTATACACAGCATTCTCCCCAGCAAATTGTTCAAGCATCATGATTTATTTGCATATGAAAGGTGTTAATTGATTATTTCGGCTTTCTAATTTATTTTTTTTCGTATTGAAAAAACAAAACAAACTCACATTTATGATTTTTGAAAAGGGCTTGGGAAGAAGACTGTAGTATTTAACAGATGGGTAATTTGTTGAGAACCAAAAAATGATGTAAGAAAATTGTCACTGATTTAATGAGTCAATTCTATGTGCATCATGAAAAATACACGTGTGGTAACATACTGTAGTGATCCAATGAGAAGAGAAGAGTGAAATATTAAAATGTGAATTTAGTGTAGATAAGCCTGACAATCTAGAGAAACTCAAACTAGATCTTAACATGAGAAACAACTGTAATTAATATACACTGATGAATAAGAAAAACTAATTTTCATCTGAATTGGCCGACTAAAAGTCACTGAGGTATCAACTGATATGCAAATGAGACTAATTCTCATCACAAATACACTAATAATAATAAAATCAGACCCAAAAAATATATTACACAGACTCCATATTTCCCATTCTTAGTGTTAATAACAAAGTTAATGATTTATTAACCATAGATAGTAACTAAACTTTCAGAACCTCATCACTTCCTGTCTTTTTGCACACTGTTTCTGTTAATTTGGGATCAAATGTAAATCTCCTATAGTTTGGTACGAACAAAAACAAACTTTGTTGTGAAATGATTCAATTAATCATTTACCATATTAACCGTCCAGCATCTACTTACTAAAGCCTTGTGTCTAATGTGGGTCTTAATGTGGTCAATAAAAACAATACTTTAGACTTTCAGACATTTCTTTGTACAATTAATCAATAGAAATCTAAAAATTACATCAATTAAACGCTAAAATGCAAGACTAAAATAACCAGTTCAGTTTTCATTATTAAGCAGTAATGGAGATGTTTCTTTAACACGTCCGGAGTCCAATAACTGCGATGTACTTTCCATCAGTCCGGGACGTTCATCTTCATTCAGTGTTCGACTAAACGGTCGTTTTATATTACAGCAACCGGCCCAACCACGATACACAAGTGCATTCAGGAAAGCTTGCAGAGGATTCAGAATACCCTAGTATGCAATGAGGCATAGATTGTTATTATGATATTGATGGACATTACTATTATGCATGAAGGGGTGGTAACTCATAAATTGATGGGCATGCAGTCTAATGATTTGGAGAAAGGCACAGAAACAGGAATATATTTATTCTGATTTCTTATATATGATCTAAAACAACTAATACTTTTCAAAGTACATATTCTTAGAATAACAGCATATACCAGACTAAACTACCCTTAATGAATCAATGGTATAATCCTAATGTGTATGCTGCTGAACAGGCTTCCACAACTTCTAGCCAATGTGAAGTCACACATTTCACTACCACTATAAATGCACCTCCCTTGCCAAGTTCTTCCATTGTATAGCCAATGTGGGGTCATACCTTTTACTACCACTGGGGGGGGGGGGGGTGTTATAAATGAATATATATATATATATATATATATATATGGAGAAAATAATTTTTTTTCTGAACTTTTTCTCCAATAAGTTAATCTTTTTTCAGGAAAGTCTTAGAATTTCAAACATAAGGTCAACCATTGTATTTTCTGTTATGGAGGTTCAAGCCAAATTCAAGTTTATATGTCATTTTTGTCATATTTTCATCATTATCAGTTCATGGCAAAAGGATGCCAAAAACGAAAACTACTTGAACTGCGTTAATACTCTTTTTGTAGTTTCTGAGGTCAAAAATAAGGAACATTTTAATGATTAAGTATACAAGAACTGTGATTGTTGGTTTATAAGCGCTTCTATTAAATATTTAACTTTAATAGACCAAATATGGTGGATGGACAGTCAAGAAAACAATATGGTTATAGAGAAAAGAACATAGTTACATACAATTATGATATTAGAGTGAGTGGATGGATAATTTACCCTTCATCTTTGAATGGCCAAAATTTAAACTAAAAATAAAATTTTTATAACAAAATTGCAATTTTTGTTCTTTGTAATAGTGTACTTAGTAGTAAAATTGTGACCTTACCATCATAACATCCATCACGATAATTCCTGCCTCAATACTGCTATTATCTTTGTATCTCGAGTTGAAGAAAAGTAAAACCGCATTGATTACATTTGGCAACCAACTGTAACAACAAACAAACAAGAATTATTCAATAAGCTATAGCAACCTAGTATAGAATGGACATTTGTAAATATTTCCCATGATTCACTGCATTTATGCCCACTGCAAGTCATGTAACACTATGTGTTAATGCACAAGGTGACTTACCACACATAGAAGACGGCTAAAATCAGAGCAAATTTCTCTTTTACTTGTTTGATCACAGCTCTCTCTTGGTCGGTGAATCGACCAAATCTAGCTTTTATTAAACTAGACACTGCAGATTAAAATACGATAAAACTTTGTTACTTAATTGTATACAGGAGAAAACTGAATAACGCTACAATTTGCTGTTACCAACAACACAACAAAAGTAAAAGGAAAAGAGAGGTATACCACAGAATGTTTCTATGGTGATAATAATTTTGTGACAACTTACATCATAGTTATTCAAATTGGCGGCCATTTTTAAAAAGGTGGAATCAAAGAGTTACTATGCTCCAACAAATGGGCATCCTACCATCATATTTTATAATTGTTTACATTTTTATTTAGTTATGTTTGATTTGCAAAGTTCTGTATACAAAAATTATTCTGCCAGTTTTTATTTTTAAATTTTTTGGTAAAATTACTAATTTTTAGAAACACTAGAAACAACTGTTTGTCCTAAACATTTTTTGCTTCTGTTAAACAGAATGGAAAACACTGCAAAACAAGAATCTCTCAAAAAGTTTCTGAATCATGAAATGGTTACTTACCATTTCGGGCAGAGAAGAAATACAATATCGGATTACATATCATAACCATTAACATTGGGGCTAATGTAGCCAAGTAGTGAGGTACTAAATTCACTATTCTGCGTTCACAGCTGGAGGTAACAAAATATGAACAAACAAAGATATAGTCATCGTCTGAGAGGGCTCTGTCATTTGAAATAATTCATACATGTTATATCCCTTTCTGGTACCAAGTCAAACCCAAGCACACACATATGGGCCTAAGGGTTCTCCCCAGGAAATTATAGAGTAGGGGCTCCTAACTGTTAAATTTTGGATAAACAATAGACCCAATTTTGCATAACAATTAATACAATACAAGTCATAAAAATATTCTATTGGGCAAGACTGATCATCAAAACAAAGCCAGATTACACACATTGACCAGTCTGGTCATCAAAACAAAGCCA